CGCTCGCCCCGCGCCTCCTCCGAGCGCGCACGCGCACGGCCCAATCCCACACTAGCGCTCAGGAGCAGGTACCGGCCGAGCAGACTGCCAGGATTTGCCTTACGCCGGGCGTTCCATTCATGTGGCCCGAACCTACGACGGTGGCCCGGCGTTCTGGGCGCGCTGCAGAGCATGCTGGGACTTGTAGTCCACTGTTCACCCAGCGCGCCGAGATTTTGCTTTGTCGACCGGACAAGAGAAGTAATACTAGACCTGTTAGACAAAAAGCGACCGTTACCAAGGGTCCCAGGTGTTTTCTTGTTTAACAAAAGGTGATTGGGGGAGTGTAAGATTAAACAACCATTTAACTACAACTCCCGGCACCCCCAGTGTGCTGGGTGACACATTTCCGGCAGCTGGCCCGCGGAACAGTGGAAATTCCTGGCCGCTGAAAGGAACCGGGAAAGAGGGTCGTTAACCTTGTGTCTCCGCGCCAGCCTGGTCTGACACTAAGGGTCTCCTTCGTTTGCACTTGTCCCTGCGAGGGAGAACATAGAGTCAACCTTAGCTTTCGTGGCCGCCTACCAGTACTGTCTACCACAGGGATTGCGGGACGGCGCTTTCGTAATTATCTAAGTGTTTTAGGAGGTGAGGGGGTCGAATCCGTCCCTGGTGACCACGAGGGTTACTCAGGACAGTCTGGCCCAGCTGTTGTTTGCATCAGGGCCTGATGACGCGGCCTTCTTTTGGTTACAGAGCACGATAGTTATTTGTTGGGAGGACTTGAGAGGCCTTTTGGTGTAGTCAGGAAATCTGTATATCAATGGTATCAAACATAGTTTGCCTGAAAAAGCACCTGTTTAGAGGGAAGAAACTTATAAATGCAGATTCCTGGTTGTCCCTGAGAGATTTATTAGGGAATCCTGAGGCATCCTGGGAGAAACTGGCATGCAACAATTAGGCAAGCTCTTGTGAAGTTAGTTCACTCCTCAGGTATTCTCTACGAAGTGGAAGTGAACGTCAAACAGCAGTAGGTTATGAATGGAAAATTCAAGGTACTGGATGCTATGACTTGAAACGTAACCTTAAATTTAAAGTTCTATTGGACTTCTAAAGCTAAACATGGGTTTCTTGTACATTTTGTAGTCGGTGTGGTTCAGTAAGTCCTCTTCAGTTAAAATAGGCATGCTTTTTTAGTTGGTTATATAATCTAGCTAATGAGTATTCACTATTCCTGGCACAGTGTTAAGTGCATTATATAATGAATGTTATATTACTTAAACTTTATAGGAACGCCTAAGAGCTAGGCGCTATTATTATTCCCAGCTTGCAGATGACGAAATAAATTACACAAGGATGGTAGCTAGTAAGTAATTGACAGCATAAAGTAGCAAAGCAGAAATAAGTATAGTTTTACCAAAACACAACTTGAATCAAGTGTGAAAAGCACCAAATGGGAGTCAAGATGATACTGTTTTTCCAGCTTACTGTGTCACTAACAAGCTTTGTGACTTGGAGAAGATCCTAGTGTTCAGGTCCTTCATTTATTAATTTGTAGAATGCTGACTTTAGGGTGACAATAGTTCTGAACCTCAGTTACTCACCCTGGGGAGCTTAAAATTGTTCTGGAGGTCAGACCCTAGAGATTCTGATTTGGAGGAACTGGAGTGAAGGTTAGAATTTTCATTTTTAAGATACTCCTCTAAGTGATAAGCTCTTGATTATCAGCCCCGTTTGGAAATCAGTGCTAGACCTATAAATAATAAGACAGCCTAATATTAGGTGATTCTTAGAGGTAATGATATGCTTTATAAAAAGATTCCTAAGATTGATCAGCTTTTGGAGATCCATGCCCATTGTTATTTAAATGTACCATCAAAGTTCACTAAGGAATCCCTCTCAATCTCTTTCCTTTTTTCTATTTTTTTTGAGACAGGTTCTCACTATGTAATTCAGGCTGGCCTCAGACTTGGCCTCAGACTCCTGAGTGTTGGAATTACAGGCATGAGCTACCACACCTGGCTTAATCAAAGAAACTGAAGAACACATAACAGAAAAATGCCTTCCCTTAATTTACAAATACATATTTTTGTTTATTGGTTTTGCTTCTCTTAAGTTGTAATTCACAGGAGATACAGATTCTGTAGAACACAGATCTGATTTCCAAACTGTTGCTTTTTGTCAGTTGTCTGCACTTATTTACATGAAGTTCAGTATTTTCATGTATAAATTCCAGTAATATGATGATACCTGATGACACCATCTAGAGCACAGTAGCAGCTAATATTATAATTTTATTTATTTTTTAATATTATAGTTTTAAAGCTAATAATTGTAAAGACCAATTGGCATAAATATTATTCATCAAATATTGAAATGGAATTTTACTTGAAAATCAGCTTCAGGGTGAAATTTTTAAAAGATTGTCTTCACTGGTTAGATTATCTATCTGGTAATACTATTCTTGCTATTTATCCTGTGGCCTACCACTTAGAGCATGTGGTACTTTTTGAGGCCACAGACACATTGTCTTCATAATTCCTTGTGATACTGCCCTTTGGAGCTGTACTAATGAATATATTGACCTTAAGAACTGTGGTCCTTAGAAGCACTTTGCTTGGCTTTTTGTACCACTGCCAGGCTGAGTGGGTTTCTTTTAGAACTAACATCCTTTTTTATGTATCTTGTATTCCTTAGTGTTGCTATAAACCAAGTGAAGATCAAAAGAAATTCAGAAAAGGGCTAGGGCTTTAGCTCTGGTGCCATACCTGCCTTGTAAGTGCAGGGTCCTAAGTTTAATCCCCAATACTGCAAAAAGAAAAAAAAATCAGAAAAGAGAAGTGCTAGTAAGCAAATGCTAGGTAAATATGTGGCATAAACAAAGTTTGGAAAAAGTTTGGGATAGATGGACTCTATCCAATAATGAGTATCAACTGGGAACCAAACATTGTTCTAGGCTTTTGGGATTCAGCAAGGAACAAGGAAGATGGGTTAAATTCCCAAGAAATTTACCTAAATGTTTTGTAGGATAGGATAGGGAAGATGTGTTGGTTTGAACTTGTTCCCCAAAAGTTGGAAACATAATCTTAAAAAGTTCATAGATTGATAATATTTGGGGTGGGGCTTTTAGGAAGTATTTAGGGTTAGTTTCGGTCATAAGACCCCTTCCTCCTGTGATAGCATTAGTAGCTTTGTAAGAAGTGGAAGATGGACCTTAGTTTATGTGATTCCTCTTGCCATGTGATGCCCTCTACCATGTTATGATGTAGCCAGAAGGCCCTTAACAAAATCCTACACCATGCTTTTGGACTTCCCAGCCTCTAGAAGTATAAAGAATAAATACGTTACCCAGTCTCATGCATCATGTTATAGCAGCAGAAAATGGTTCAAGATGGATGTTTTTTATACAGCAGAGATAAATGAGTAACATAATTTCAGACAGAACTATCAATGGAGACAATAAAACAAGGTAATAGGATGTTGTGTGTGTGGTATGGTACTTGTGTGTGTGGTATGTTCCTTTAAATTGACCATAAAATAACAGGAGTGACAACCAGATAACCATGGAGTTGCTCCTGAATATCAAGGAGTTAGCTATGGAAACAGCTGGGGTCAAGCATTTTAGGATCAGAACTCTTAATCAGGCTCTTAAACAGTATTGGATACCATGAGTTTGAGCTCGTAAAAGGAATTTGGTTCCTACTAAATAAGAGGGAAAAATCAAGGCTTGTGGGATTTGATGACCTAGAGAGTGTCAGAATTCCTGAAGGAAGATGAAATTGGAGAGACAGACAAGGGTCAGATTATGTATGCCTAATAGGCCATGGGAGGGGAGACATAGGGAGTTGTGGGTTGTGGAAGGGAGTTGGATTTTATTGTCAGTGCATTGAGGAGTCTTTAATGAGTTTAGGATACCTGAATGACTTGATCTGTTTTACATTTTTAGGAGGTTGGTGGTAGCATAAATTTAACAATTGAGAAACACAACTAGATGCAGTATTCCAAAGACAGGAGAAGTAGTGTAGAGATTAGGAATCTAGTTTGTAGACACAGCTGACCGGACTTGCTGATGAGCTGTTTTTTTGGCAAGTATATTCTCTCAACATCTTCCCTTTCATGAGTTGACAGCTCTTCCCTTTCATGAGTTGATAGTGATAAGTTAGACTGATAAAGTTTGAAGCCTACCTCCCACCTCTGTCTATTACGTCTACAAATGGTGGACGCACACAGAAGCATGAGTAAAGTTGAGATTCAAAGTTGCTTAAATAATTAGGAAATTACAACTGGAAGAGCCCTCAGCCTATGTCTGTTTATCTCTACCTGCTTCTTTATGGTTTTATTCATTCTTTGGAAACTAGGCTTTAGGCTTATTCTTTTGTCTTCCGTCCTTCACCTATCTATGTTATGAGGCCCTCTTTTCCTTAATATGCAAGATAAAACTACTTCCTTTTACACAGATCTTCCTTTTTTGTTGATGTGCTTTGGTCACACATATTCAGTTGAGTTAAAAATATTAATATTCTTAAATGCTCAGAGTTCCTAACCTTTAGTTTTTTGTTTGTTGGTTTGTTTGTTTTTGAGACAGGGTCTCACTGTGTAGTTCAGACTACCCTGGAACTCACTGTGTAGCCCAGGGTGGTCTCTATGATCCTCCCGCCTCAGCCTCCAGAGTGCTGGGATTATAGGCGTGCACCACCACACCCAGCCTAACCTATAGTTTTGTTTCTGTTCATAAAATGGGCTAGCAAGTTTCTCTTCCCAGCAGCCTTATATTATATATTTGA